GACAAAGTCATCCTTCCACCGCTGGGACACTGTAGGCTTTGTCCGGAAAACGGCTGCGCAGGCAATGCAGCACTACTTCACATCTTGCATGTACATCTTGAAAGGTAGTGGAGCCGATTTCAACGCGGTACTAGGCCACTAGGCGCTCATCGGTACCCGCTGGAACGACGATGTAGCGAGCCGCACATTTGCACTGCCTTCATGAACCGGTCACAGTCGGACTTGGTGGCGTTTGCAGAACGAAAGCGTCGCACCGAGGTTTCGTGGATCCGTCGTGTGTTGCTGGGCACTGGTGCAGTGACATGTACCTCTGCTGTACGCCACTTGGGAGGTAAGAAACACATGTGTTTTGGAGATCCTTCTCAGATTTGTCACAAACAGCATGAACCACAAAGCTAGAAGGACCCTACAGATGTCAAGTCTGTTCAGCTCTTGCATGACCATTCTGCTGGGGCTTCCGACGCGATGGTTGCCACCTGCAGTGGGAGATCCGGCAAGGCTGGCAAACCCAAAGGGTCCAAGTATCATTGTAGTGGGTACTTCGTAGGTATTTGGGCCGCCAAAGTATATACTATACTATTACTTGGACCCTTTGGGAGAGGGAGAGAGAGAGAGCTGTTTCATCGTTTCAGCGTTTCGGTTTCAGGTTGTACACAGCCCTGAGATATCGCGCGAGATGAAACAAAAAAGGACAGGAAGCTAAAACGAAAACGAAATAGCAGGAGCCTAAGTTAAATCCGGTTTATGTCCGCTCATCCTTTTTTATGGTCGTAAATCCTCTTGCTATGCGTGTAATCTTTGCTATTAATATGTTTATTTACATGTTATGCTGTTGTTTCTGCGTTGTTGGTATAGTATAGGTGTAATTCATGGTTCTCTACAGTTTACGAAAGTGTAGATGAGGACGTTCTTTCAAGCCGGAGGTGCTGTCGTGCACCAGTAATGTTCCGACATTTTGCCCGGAATGATGTATTGAAACCTGGATGAAAACTTTTATGCTGCAAGTATTTGCAAGTCATGCTTTGTAAGCTGACAGACAGACAGCGCCCCAAACCCAAAGCGCTGACTGACTCTCCAAACAAAAGCCTGAGCATAACCTTGGCTGACTTCTGAACCCCTCCAGAAAGTTAAACTTTTAGCCTCCTTGTTATAGTTCATATAGAAACCCAAAAAGTTAAAGTCCCAAGAGCCAACCAGAAGAACGCCAAGTAATCATGCTCTACTGGAGACTCAGGAGATGGGACTGTAAGAGCACGCTCGGGATAGTCTCAAACTTACTTGGTTTGTTGCTTTTGGTGGGCGTGCGGACAGTCCCCACTAGAGCCACTAGACTCCCAGAGCGTTGGGAAGTTGGGAAGAGTTTCATCTGATTTTGCCTTGGGGTGCTTCGTTTAGTTGTTGATTTTCGGCTTGAAGCTTGCCGGCATGGCTTCTGAGGGGCTCCGGGGTAGCACTCAAGGTTTGAATTGCTTATTGCTTCCAGTTGGTCGTATTCCCAAAGGGTCCAGGTAATGGTATATAGTTTGGGGGCCCAAATACCTACTAACGGTTAATGATATAAATCTGCATGACCCATAAAAAGGAATATACCATAATTCCCATAGTTTCGGGTCCTTAAGGTAATGCAGGATTTATACCATCAACAGAAGTACCTATTATACTGGTAGTTGGATCCTTTGGTACTTCGGGCTCAGTCATATGAGTCCGCTAAGCAGCTACGGCATCAACGACTGTCCCACGATGCCTCCTGCTCGACTAATGAACGGCACCTGGGACTGCGTGTGGCATTTATTGAAGGCCTGACCTCCCCACACCACTCGAAAAAATCCAACAGTTATAGGCTGTGTGCTAGAGGCTGTTTGCTGCAAGCAGAGCTCTTTGAGGCACGTGATCTCAGCATGTAGTTACAATATGGTCTTCTTCAGTAGCTTGTCAGTCCGTGCCTACGCAACGGTTCGCAAACAACAACTCTAGATATCCTGAGCACGATGTGCCTTCGAAGTTCGTTTATGGCTGTAGTTAGAAACTTGCGAATGTGCAGGGCATAAGCGCAGTGTTCAGAGCTCAAGCTTGCAAAGTTCAGGGTTGAAGGCCGTTGAAGACAAACGATCCCCTCCTGCTTATCGGAGACCGTCGGGCTCAGGCCTCTGTCGTTCGGAATTCGGATCTTAGGGTTGCGGGACTTTAGGGTTAAGCAGGTCGCCGACTTTACGTGGCGAGGATCGAATATCGTTGGCTGCATTGAAGGCAAATCCCCCAAGCCCTGAAGATTGTAGTGTAAGTAAGATGTCATAACTAGTATACTATAAACTACTATAAAATTATGAAGTACATTATACAATATGGCTGCCCCGTAGTAGGACCCTGGACACTCCAACCTCACGTTCTCTACCAGAAAAGGCGTGATCCCAACAAACACGGAGACAACCGACAAAACCGAAGCCCATGACCAAACCGCACCTAAAGTCACCAAAATCCTATTGAATCCCATAGGACCCTAAGTACATACATTGTGAAAAGTAGGCATTCTACAATAGGAGTTACTAGTTATTCTGGTTTAGAAAGGTATCCTCCAAGTATGTACTGAGGACCCTTTCGTGGAGAGTCGCGGGACTTAGTAACTCGGTAATAAGTAGGCTTATAAGTACCCCAAAAGGGATCCTAACTGGGGTTGCGGTACTTAAAAGTCTCTAACATATCTATTTACTAAGTCCCCCGACCCTCCAGGTTGCGAATACAATTGAAGCTTAGGAGCAGTGCATCCGCAAAGTCGGAGCATTCCGACGCCTGCGCCTCGAGATTACGCAAAAAGCACGACAGGCACCCCATGTAGGGTCTTATTGATTAGAACAAGGAGTATACTAAGCTTTAGCGATCATAAGGAACGCCAAAAAAGCACTTGGTTATTAGTTAGGCCCCTGTAGTACATGTCTAGGTTTAGGATTTAGGGTCTAGGGCCGTCTTCAGGGGTTAAGGAGTTTAAAGTTTAGGGTTTACATGGGGTTTAGAGTGTATGGTGCTGTCGTTCTTTTCTTAGTGCTTTGGGCTTTGTATTAAAGGGTCTTCGGAGCGTCTGATGAGGAGTAAGATCTCTTTTGACGGCGTGGGGTTCGCGTCTCAGGGTTTTGGATAAATTAGTAAAAAACTTTGACCTTACTTCTCCGTAACCCAAGATGGAACCAAGATCCTACAATGCCATGATGGGCTATAGATGAAACACTAAACCCTAAAGCTCTGTACTTCGGTGGATGATATAAATCCTGCATTACCTTATTATAAATCACCCTAAACTATAGGAACTATGGAACTATGGCATATTCCTTACTATGGGTGATGCAGGATTTCTATCATCAGCAGTTTCAAAGGCCTGGAGCCCCCGTACGCGTTGAGTTCACCCTCAAGCGGGCATCTCGCCGGCACTGAGCAGCGAGTTGCTACACTCCTTATCAATACAAATAGCTTAGTGAGCAGACTTCAACTGATTCAGTGTTTATGCTTAGGGCCAATGGGGCCAAGGGATTAGGATTGGCAGTATAGTTTGGAGTTTAGGGTGATACTGTTGATGATATAAACCCTGCATTACGGGGATGACCTGTAACTACAGGAATTGTGGTAGATTCCTTATGATGGGTACCCATAGGCCCCAAAGTACTTCCTTTTTGGGGTTACCTTATAGGATTCTATATATGAACCCCAAAGGGTCATGCAGGATTTATATCCCCAGACCTTCCAAAATCCCTTAATTAAGGAATATACCTTAAATCATATTATGGATCCTATTATAATTTACGGTATTTTCCTTAATTAAGGGGTTTTGGAAGGTCTGGGTCATCAGCCGTATGGAACATGCGTAGGCGCTCCCAAGCTCCGGACTTCCCGGGAGACATCCACAAGACGTGCTGCTAGAGGAGTGGCAATCCTCGCAGCAAGCGCTGTAAGGGATCTAAAGGGTACTATAAGGGATCTATAAGTTACTGTTAGGGATCTATAAGGGTACTATAAGGGATCTATAAGGCTACTTATAAGGGATCTATAAGTTACTGTTAGGGATCTATAAGGGTACTATAAGGGATCTATAAGGCTACTTATAAGGGATCTATAAGTTACTGTTAGGGATCTATAAGGGTACTATAAGGGTAATGTAGGAAAATGATTAAGAAACCTTGGGCCTTTATTAGAGCTCCTTTTATGTATCCGACTATTTTGGGGTTGTAGGTCCAGGGTTTCTTAATCAGGTTCCTACAGTAGGCCGTCAGCAATCGGATGTTCTGCTTGCCTCCCCTGTACACCCAAACCCTAAATTACTAGACCCTACACCCTACAGACCCTGAATCCTAAACTTTTAAAGATCCTAAACCCCCTCCACTTGCGGCACTACGCTCATTACACTTGTAGACTTCATGGATGTTGCGTTAGGGTCCACGTAAGTCAAGGTGACTGCGTTGATGCAGGCTATAGTTATATATGTCTACCCTTAGGAAGTACCAAACATAGTAAGGTTTTGAGTACCAAAAAACCATTCAGAGCATGATGTCATGTGGGAACAGATCCCGACTATTCGCGTACCTGGGCCCTTTTATGAGGGCAAGCTTTGGGCCGTAGATGCACTCTTTTATTCTGGTCTGTATTGCGGCACACAGAAAAAAGACCCGGCGCGAAGGAAAGAGAGCCTGTTGTCCTCACAGGGTAGAAGTATCGACTCTCCGGATACTAACACGCACACAAAAACCTTGGCGAAGTTCTTGGGCATTTTGGCTAGGGTTGGATTGCACGGCCAAGAGCAGTCTGCAAGGACTGAATGTGCCGACTATCAGTCACCAGAGTGCCTTCAGCACACAAACAAACACCTTTGAACACTTTGAGAACTAGCGTTAACTAGATGCTACACCCTGACTCTGAACTTTCAGATTCAGAGTCATCTGATTTAATAATATGATAATATGATGATAAAAATAACAATACCACCCCCGCTTGCACGCCGGATCCTGAACCTTAAACTCCTAATCCGCAACCCTAGGAGCCTGCTTTGTGCCAGGCGGCCGGTGCACACGCGATGCCAGCACACGCAACACAACATCCAGAGCCTGCAGCCGGAGGAGAGGCTTAGCTTGTATTGCTTTGGGTTTTAGACTCTAGGCTTCTGAAAATTCTTATAAGGGATTAAGACTTTTCGAGTTTAGGATATCCGGCTGTCGCGCGTTAGGGCTTATAGGGATTTTTGGGTTTCATGTGTTTGGCTCTTACGATTTCAGCGCTTGGGCTCAGAATTCGGGGTTATAGGATTGGTGAGGGGTTGCGGGTTTGCAATGCGTTATTAGCAGTCTCGGGCTGCAGCCACGAAACACAGTTGCAATCACAGCTTTTTCATGCCGGAGGCACTAGGTCTAGTGTAACTGGGAAGGATAGAAAAAGAAGCGAATGGGATATTCTGGACTCAGCGCTGTCCCTATGTAGGGAACTTCAGGGCCAAAGTATATATTTATACATATATACACATACTATTTGGGCACATGGACCCGGGTGTAGCCGGTCCAGAGATTCTATAGTTGAGCCTCGAATTACATGTGCTGGGTTCATAAGCTCGTATCTTCCTTGCCACAGCTACGGTTGATGATATACATCCTGCATTACCGATAATAAGGAATACACGATAATTCCCCACAGTTTAGGGCCCTTAAGGTAATGCAGGATTTATATCATCAGCCGTATCATAAGCTCTACCTGAGCCCCACTTAACTCACCTTTCTCGCCATCCTTAACCTGATTTCCTGATATAAGTCCTTTCAAAGGTAGGCAACATTTTAACTCTCTAGTTTGAGCCTAAATAAAACCTGCACCCCGAACGTACTCCCAACATCAAACACTTAACCTGAACCCTCCCCGAACCCGAAACTAAGCATGACTTGCCCCAGCCTCAACATGCGTTTGCTAAGTTTCGAGGTTCAGCACTCCATGTAATTATATCTGGCAGGATGAGAGAACGATGCTGTGGAAGACCACCGTACCCCACATCACTTGCTGCGGAAAGGTGCAATGGGGGGTGAGCTCCTGGATGCACTCGAAGTAATCGGTCATACGTGGCCGCCCCTCTGTCCGAAACTTCGCACTGACATAGTACACAATGGGGCAGTTCGCGAGTTCAACCACGACCAGCAACTGCCCTGTTGAACTGCAATCCTCGGTATGGGCAACTTCATGAGTGGAGTAGGGTCGTGGGTTACAGTACAGTATGTAGAACTAGATATTATTCAGAGGCCCGAGGGATTTAGGCAAATATTCGAAACCAGGCCCCTATCCAGAGACTCCAAAACCCCTTAATTAAGGAATATATATATATATATATATATACCCTAAATTATAGTAGGATCCCTAATACGATTTAAGGAATATTCCTTAAGTAAGGGGTGTTGGAAGCTCTGGGTACACATGAAAGCGGAGCCTCTGTTTCCCGCATCACGGCCAGAGCCTGCAGCGGATGTCAGGACCGGGCATCGGGATCTTCATGGTCACTCTGGTCCCCGGGAGGAGCTAGAAAGTAGATCCCCCAATTTGGGGACCTGTACTACTGAGGGTACTTTATAGGAACCCCCATTAAGAGATCTACGTTCTGGATTCTCCCGGGGGTCTGGTTAAGGGTTCGGGGTTTGTGTATACCGGTAACGGAAAAGACCTACTCTTAGGGTGCCTTATTGTGGTCTCCATATATATATATATATATATACATATATATATATATATATATATTTGTATATATATATATGTATATATATATATTTGTATATATATATATATATCTCTCTCTCTCTCTCTCTCTCTCTCTCTCTCTCTCTCTCTGTCTCTCTCTCTTTAAGCAAGGTCAGAGTTTCGGGCCACGGTCAAGGTTTAGGATTGTGAGAGGGAGTGGAAACCAAGGGTTTCAGGGTTTGCGATTCGGGCTTTAAGTTTATCTTACAGCCCTGCAGCCCAAATCATTTCCGGGGTCTTTCGGGAGTTAGAAATTTGGGATTTCAGGTCTGCGCCGGGTACTCGAGCCTGCGAAATCAGCCAATACCTGCATGCTTGTACCTTGCAGAAATCCGACCTGCGTCAAGTACTACCAAGAACCTTGCCGCAATACAAGAACCTCCAAGTGGAGTCCACTGGTCTCTGCCCATAGGCCCCAAAGTAGTTCCTGTTTGGGGTTACCTTAAAGGATTCTAAATATGAACCCCAAAAAGGAACTACTTTGGGGCCTCTGGGTAGCAACACCTAGATTGGTCCTGCGGGCCTTCGCCACTTCCCTTCCTCCAAACCTTCTGCAAGGCGTTGCTAGGCGAGATCCTCTAAATACCCGGTGTAGGCGGAAGCATGTGACATGGAGGATGTAGGGCTAAAGGCACATGAACCGTTGAACGTGTGTATTTTAGGGCCGTTGGAGATTCGAGTTTCGGGTGTTCCGTTTAAGGCATTGAAGAGTGATCGTCTACCGAACAGATCTGGAAGTGACCACAAAAGCATTGCGCGAAATGCCAAGGCCATGCATGCTGCCATATGCCTCTAGTTTGGCTTAGGACATGTGAGGCTGAGTTGTTCACGGGTATAAGCGCGTCACAATATATTCCACCCTGGCTCCCAGCCCTGCGACAACCTGAAACCCTCCAATCACAATGATACTAAAATGCCCAAATAGTATGTACCTCGGCCTTGAAGTAGTCCCTACCTATAGTCTCCATTGTAGTTCCTCTTTTTGGTGAATCAGTTTTATGGTTAGTATCCTATAATAGAGATTTTGGTTAACCAAAAAAAGGAACTACAATGGAGACTAAAGGTATGTAGACACTTTGGGGCCAAAGTAAATACTATTTGGATACATGGACCAGGGCACCCTGGGGGAATGCTCCATAATACGCTACTAATACTAGGATGCCCAGTAACCAAGGAATAAAAACGCTCCCGTTTTTGATATTGGGTACCTTTATAAGGAACCTAGGACCACAAAAAGGGAATAAGGGTACTACTGGGCATCCTAGAATATTATATCAATCTACGACTTGGCCAGAAGATTTGTGGCCTCGGCGGCAGATGCCAAATCGCCCTCCTTCACGCCGAGGAGCACCTCACGCAGAGGATGCTTAGGCTAAGTACTCTGGCTCCCAAAGTAGGTACATTCTACCTGTATTTTTGGATTTTGGAGCTTTGCAGGAATCAATTAGTGCTCGATTGAAGTTTTAGGGGGTGGGGATGTCTGGTCCCTGCGCTGCCTCATGGGTTTCGGGTGCTACGGCTCGCGGTACCTATATTATGATGCTCCAGGACAGCAACCGAAGCATCAACACAGTGTCCAAGTTGAACTCCGCATGAAGCATGGACGACCTTCGCCCCGAAACCCTTTAATAACAAGGATGCAGGGCGAGCTTATTTAAAGCTTATAAGAGGCTTATTAAAGCCTTATAAAGCCCTTATTAAAGCCCTTATTCAAGCAATATTAAAGCTTTATCAGAGCCTTACAGCCTAAGCCCTAAACCCCGACACCCCTCGATGCCTCTGCGTCGGCGTCGCGTACTTTGGCGACGCAGGCATCGACGCATCCACGATGAACCGTTCTGAGCCGGAGAGGTCTATGCCCGAAACCCTCCGCCCTAAACCCCCAAACTCTAGGATTTAGGGTTTAGTGCTCAGCGCTTAAATCCCTGAACCCCTAAACTCTAAACCTCCATTTGCCTTGTTGTTCGGTCGTACCATGGCTAGTACCCATCGGCTCCATAGTAGCTCCTTTTCGGGATTACCTTATAGGATCCTACCTGGACAATCTTTCGTAACGTTTATTTGTGTATCGAAAAAAAACAATGACAATCAAAAAATAAACATAACACTCTGTGAAATGTGGACGGATTAAGAAGAATGTGGCCGATGTGTGACAATGGCAAGTTGACGATGCCTTTTCACTGTCTATTATCCCTACAGGCTTCCAAAACTCTCTCTCAAAACCCATATTGCAGGAGTTAATGTATACACTTTGGCATCGGGCTGACAGTGAAAGGGTTTAAGGCTTGAGGTGTTTGCGGTGTTATGGTTTGGGCAGAGGGGTGCGGCGGGGCACATCATGCACAACATGCACGGGATGCACACATTTTCTCATCGACCAGCACTGCTTCCTTGATCCTGGCTGATGAGAGGCTCGACTGCATTCAGCGGCAATCGAACTGTTCACGCCATAACCGCCGGTAGTGTGCAAGCGACTTAGCAATGCTTCTCTTGACAGTTGTCGATGCGTGGCAGCGCCGAGAAACACGACTGATTCGACCCACAAAGTCTTCGTCGCTCCAAGTGCTATAGCCTGTGCCACTTGACAGTGATGTCATACAGCATGGCTATATATGCATGGGGTTGCAAAAGAGAAAACTTATTAGTTCGCCCCAAGCAACTCATTACATTCAAAACCCAGATCGCCCCAGTGTCGTACTCCTTCTGCATCATGTAGCTTAGTTCGGCCAGATCTCATTAGGCCGGGGATATGTCTACCGGGTTACAGTATATTTCGGGGTTTGGATATTTTTAAGGATGCAGGAAAAGCCTGCGATTCAAGATCAGTCACTTGATCTCTCCCTGCATGTGCAGCTTGGGTCTGATCTTGAAAAGAACCCATTTCCTTTCAGCGCATCGTCGTGCCAGAAGCATATATCCAGCCTGATAGCCCAAATTGAACCCCGGACCCTTTTAAACAAACGGCCCGATAATATATAGTTACGATATATATATAGAATAAGGAGAGGAGCGAGCATCGACCAGCCAGTGCGGATGGCCACAGAGGCCTCGCTTCGAGAGAGCCATATAGCCGAGTTGTAAAGCAGTCTGAAGTGCTGTCCACATGCACACAGTGTCCATCGTAGGATTCTGAACAGCTCCATGTGCTCGGATGCCTGAGCATAAACCATGAAAGCTTGCATGGGACTATAATGCAAGAAGCTTATAGGTTATTGTGATCGATCGAGTTGCAATGGTAGCCTCATCTGTTGCATTGAAGATTTCTTCTAGCCACGAATTCATAACTCCAGTATCGTGTCCTTTCCCACATCCAGCGGGAAATTCCTGCAGCCTTGCGTATCCGATTTGGGGCTTGTGGAGTGCTTATATAGCTTTGGGACCAGGATACCTGCTGATGTACATAGTACTTACTATATAGGATGACTCGGGCATGCAGTTACTTTAAGGCTTGGGTTCTTCCACGACATACCCTTTATACTTGATCCTATGGCTTGTGAAAACAGATGGACTTATATGGCCGGGTTTAAGGTCTAGGGTTATTTCACCGAGTGATACCTATAGGTATTCCTGCCCCAGGCCCCCTAGTGCCAAGGATCGAGGTAACCCGCAAAGTCTGCAGACTGAAATCTTGAATTGAGCTTTGCTTCCCGGTTCTGCGGCAGTATTCCTTGAAGCTCTGAAATGCCAGATCAAGCGCCGATTGTATAGTTCCTCGGAAGATGCCAAACCGGTATGCCAAGACAAGTGAGGAAGCGGCAAGGTTTTTCCCCCACCCGTCGATGGCATACGTGTGCGCAGGATCCGGTTTCCCAAATCCAGGATTGTCTCCAAAAAGTTGCCGAAAGGCAGATACATCTCCAGTCATTTTGTATGGCAGAGGTAGCCCTTCCCGCACATGATTTCGAAAGGTTGCTTCGGATACATCATACCATTCCTGCCATTCAATTATTGGAATCGATCGTCGATTAGGCCCTACAACATATACACAGGGATTAAACATATACAAGCCTAGGTTCTGCTGCGTCACATAGATGGCAGATTCGTTTGGATGTAAATCCGGTAGCCAGCCCCATGGCCTTCCGCAAAAAAGGCCAATCACCTTTCAGTGCCAGAGGAATCATCCTGAAAGTCAGTTTCCGTGTTGACCCCATTGGCACCTGCCAGAGAAGCTAATCCCATTGTAACCATGCATAATAAACCCACGGTCCTATACAGGCACTATATGAACTGATAAGATCGAATTAGTGGCCTCTATTCCGGTTTGACACAAGCTGGTCAGGTCTTCCACCATGGCTTCCAGCAGCCGATTGAGCGTGAGGTCCCGCCAGTAAAGTTCTGAAGGGATAAGGGTAAACAACATCCGGGTTGTCAGTGAATGCCTGGGATGCAATTGGTTCCAAGTTTTCGGGTAGGGGTTGGAGGTTTACTGGATCGAAACACAATCACATAGCAAGTACTGATGATTTGCACAGATACCCGCTCGAGTTGACTTTCGATGGCCCCTTCCAGCTTATAAGTGGTTGTATGGCCAATATCATGATAGGTCGCTTACTTTTGCCCCTCCCCTCATCCCCATGCACGAGGCAGGGAATGGAGAATGAGGCCATTTCATCATTGTAGTCTTCTCTAGCAAAGAAGTCGAAGCCCGGGTTCACAGCTCGAAACTTCAGCCAGAAATCCAAAAGCATAGATCGGTACTTAGCTTCCTCAGAAACTTCATGGCCACCCAGAAACATCCGACCTCCAGCTTCAAGACCGAGTTTCAACCATGACGACGGTAAAAGTACAGGGAAATCTGTTACTTCTTTCCGTGGTCTTCCTTTGTTGATCAGCCTCACCGGTACTGTGATGTTGGTGACAGGAACTTCAAGCATTCTCCCCTGGGTAGACATCAATTTGTGCAGGTTTCGTGAAACATTTGTAGTGCCCCGACCACCACTCCCACAAGCAGCCAGCTTTTTCAGGATGGGATCCGAAACTCCTTGGCTAGCTGCAGCATAAAGCCCGAAACACCCAACCCTAAAACAGTCTAGGGTATAGGGTATATATATATATATATATATATATATATAGATAGCTGCAACATAAAGCCCTAAACCCTAAACCATATCGGCTGCAACATAAAGCCCAAAACCCTAGGCTACATCATATATATGGCTGCACCATAAACCCTTTTCCCCCATACCCGAAAACGGTTTAGGGTAGGGTTATCTAGGGCTTCGGGTTTAAGAACAATCCTACAATACATGCCGCGAGTGGCCATACCTCTTAAGCTTCCTTGTCGCCACTTGTGCCACTCGAACCACACGACCAGCAGTCTCGGCCTGATCTATAGTTAACTATATATAGCGAACAAGTACCGACAACCAATGCACAATCGAACAATGTAATATACATAATTCTACATAAGGCACCCCTGTTTCGAACCCTACGAACAGCTCGTCCGCCAGGTCATCATCATCATCGCTGTCTTCTGCAATCTCGTGCGAGCCGCCTGATCGGGAGGAGGATGTGTTGTATGGGGTATAGGGTAATAGGGTTTAGACGGACTTGTAGGGTGTGTATCTATAGGCCGGGTTTTAAGTCAATACGGATTAACATATCGAGACCACTTCATGTTTCAATGTAAACAATCGAACACCCAGCCCCTTATTTCGAAACATAAACACGTACCAAACCCTAGACCCCTACATAAGGTTGGTTCGGCTTGAAAGGTCGTGGGCTGCAGTTGCAATTAATATGGATAGTTGTGTGGGTTGACGATGTACTATCGGTCCGGCGAGTGGAGCTGTTATATACGATCGAAAGGATACTTTGCGGCACAGAACAGTTTCGGGCGCAGGGTTATTTTCAGGAGGGGTGCCATCTATATAGGGTTCAGGGCCGTTGCTGACTTCGGTTTGTGGATCCTTCATATAAATGCCATAAACCCGGCAACTCTTCCAGCCTGCTGGTGCTGCTCCTGCATTCTGCTGAAGCCAACCTGCAAAGAGGCCCGGGTTTACATAATACCCCAGCAGGAAGCTGAATCACATTTGCATGCATTGCATAGGGCAGTATTTTCAGCTGTCTCGCCACTGGCATCCCCGCACTCTGGCAGAACGGATCGCTGATCCATAGTCGCAAGCTTCGCAGCGACTGCAGAATTAGAAGCACAGCAACACACACAAGCCGTTCGTAGCTCTCTACATATATAGAGCTAGTATAGCATCGATTTCAGGCTGGCACACATGTGTTGCAAGACTGCATAACTAGTGCTTTGCATCAGAAAAGCAGTTGCCCTTAGGCCTTAGGCTTTCTGGCTGCCTTCGACTTTGGGGACTTCTTTGGCTTATCATTCTTGTCTTTTTTGGACTTTTTGTCCTTCTTGTCCTTCTTGTCCTTCTTGTCCTTCTTGTCCTTCTTGGTCTTGCTCTTGCTCTTGGGGGTGCTGCTGGCTGCAGCCTTGACAGACCTTGGCAGCAGCATCATTGCAGGACTGGGTCCAAACCATAATATTAGACTTCTTGCGTCTGGGCTTCCTTGATCGCAGAACCAGGTTGTTCATCAGAAGGTCTTGCTTTGTCGTGTCGGCATACAATGTCAGCAAACTGTCCAAGAAAGGCCTCATGCATGATTAAGTCGTACCGGTAGTAAACAGTAAACATAATGCCATGCTCGGTGTTCTAGCAACCACTACAGCACTTGGGGGATGGCTTGTCAGCATGATTGCTGATGGCATGGCTCTGTTTCTCAGTCATAGTCTTGAAAAGCTTCTTGATGTCGGTGAGCACAGCTTGGATTTGGCCGTGCAACCTAGGCTATATACGAATAAAGAAATGCACCAAAGCACTCTGGA